ATGCATTTAAACTGATCAAATTTTATTTCAAAGAACAATAAAATTAAATTTTGTTTGATTAAAACCCTGCTAACATGGAAGTACCCAAGAATCATTTGAGGCACATAATGCTTTATGAGTTCAAGAAAGGAAACTCAGCAGCCGAAGCGGCTAGAAACATTCACTCAGTTTATGGAGAGGAATGTATGAATGAAAGAACTTGCAGAAGATGGTTTGCAAAATTCAGAGGTGGAGATTTCACCCTTGAAGATGAAGATCAAACCGGACGTCCAGTTGAGTTTGATAAAAAGCATCTTGAAGCAGCCCTTGAATAAAATCCTGCTTTATCAGTTGAGGAATTGGCAGTGGTTCTCAGTTCAAACCATACAACTATTCATCGTCATCTTCAACAACTTGGAAAAGTTCCTAAACTTGGAAAATGTGTGCCTCATGAATTGTCTGAAAACAACCTCAAATCCCGAGTTGACATCTGCTCTTCTCTCCATTCTCGCCAACTTGTTTCAACTTTTTTGGATAGACTTGTGACTGGCGACGAAAAATGGATCTTTTATCGAAATGTTAAGCGTCGTAGACAGTGGCTTGGTAAAGGGGAAGGACCCCAGCCACAGCCGAGAAGGGAACTTGATGGACAAAGGGTTCTTCTTTCAATCTGGTGGGATTGCCAAGGAATAATCCACTTTGAATTCTTGCCACCTAATGCAACAATTAATGCTCAACTATACTGTCAGCAATTAGAGCATTTGAACCAAGCTTTGATGAAAAAAGACCTGCTCTAGTGAATCGAAAAGAGGTGATGTTTCATCAGAACAATGCGCAACCCCACACAGCAAGAATCACGTCACAAAACATCGAAGAACTTGGTTGGGAGAAAATTCCTCATCCACCTTATTCTCCCGATCTTGCTCCTTCAGACTACCATTTGTTTCATAGCTTACAGAATCATTTGGAAGAAACAGCTTTTGTAACACAGGAAGAGGTTAAAACTGACATTTGTGAGTTCTTCGAATCAAAGCCAAAAGAATTTTACAGTGATGGAATTAGTAAGCTTGTTAATAGATGGAAGGAAGTCATAGATAATCATGGAAAATACATTGTTGATTGAATCTGTAATTAAATGTAACATTTGGTCATTTGTTTTCGTTATTCAAAATTCGGACAGAGCTTATGGGATGACCTGATATCTATCCATGGCCGGTGCTAGGGTCTGCACCCACCCCCGAAACTTTGATACGCCTCCCCCTCTCTACTATATATCTATTTCAAAGTTTCCCAACATAGGAGCCACGAACCCTGTAATGAAAATTGGTGAGGTCAACACTTCTTTAAATTACGAAAAATCAGTGAATTATCCAACTTCAATGAAAATTTCAGTACATATTCATTAATTACTTTTATAATGAATAGATTTTTTTATTTTAAAAATTCTGAGAAAATGTTCTTCTTTGTAATAAACACCAATATTTTCATGTTTTAAGTCGCCAATTTTTACATTTCCATAAAGATTAATCGCCAATGCATCACCGCTGAAAAAAAGGTTTTACAAAGATTCCAACACAACACAAAATGGATAGTCTTAAAATTCTCTTTAAAAACAGTATTTCAATTTTCGGGAAAATTTTTCATGCGTTAACACCTTTGAACATTCTTATTTTTAAGCGATCATTTTCTCGGTTTTATCTTTTCAGAAATGTAAAAATAGGGACTAGAAATTTTATTTTAATCACTTTTAGTATAAAAAAAAACATAAGAAAATTATTTGGGCTTTGGTCGTCTTAATAAGACTTTCTCATGTCAGATACATTTAAAACAAATGAGAATAAATCAGTTAGCAGAAAAGTACCTACCACTCCACACACACACAAAATCAACCTTTATTTCTGCAATATTCGTAGAATACAATCCAATTTCTCTGATGTAGAATCTTTTCTCTTGAACAATTTTTCAGATTCTTCGCACTTTGCGAAACTAATTGGAATTCTTCTGTTGCTGACAATCAATTATATTCCTGGATATCTTCCGCTTTGTCAAAAAGATTCTGGTATACATATGCATGACCTCGGTATTTATATCCGAGAAAATCTTTTAATGGCAATGAATTGTCTCTTAAGTCTCCTGATGATTATTTCATGTGCTTTCGACTTTCGTTATTGCACCTCTGTTAGTTAACGATTCACATTGCCTTTAAATTTTGGAAGATCAAAGTTGACAGGAAAGCGTGAAGTCGGAAGAGAATTCCACAAGCGAAACGTGAGAGAAAAAACTGTTAACATAGAACTTACGGTTACATCTAGCCAATTCAACTGTGAATTGTTGAAATTAGGGACGCCAATCTAGTACTGCACTAAATTAAGTCTAGGTACCATACAGGAATGTTTATTAGAACAATTACCATGAAAGTATTTATAGAAAAGGTACATGAAAGCGCCTTACAGAGGTGGGAAAGTGACTGAAGTGAATATTGCTGATTCTTCTCTAGATTTTATCAAAAATCTTTAAATATACAACAGGAGCATCGGACCCTATCTGGCAGCAATATGCAAAGCATAAACGAATGGTAGACGAGAAAAATTGTCTAGCACAACACAGAGAACAAGCTTTCTTAGCAGAAGACCTTGCAATGATTTGAATGTAATTTTTCTTGAGTCTCCTGATGATTATTTCGTGTGCTTTCGACTTTCGTTATTGCACCTCTGTTAGTTAACGATACACAAACGAAAGGTGAGAGAGAAGAAACTGTTAACATAGAACTTACGGTTACATGTAGAAAATTCAACTGTGAATTGTTGAGATCTTGACGCCAATCTAGTATTGCGCTTAAATTCATAAAGTCTAAGAATGATAGCGGAAAGTTCATCAGAACGATTTCCATGAAAGTATTTATAAAAAGGCACATGGAAGCTTCATTACGGAGGTAGGAAAGTGACTGAAGCCGAGAGGCCAGATTAGGACTAATAATATTACTTATTCTTCTTTGGATTTTATCAACAATCTCTAAATATATAGTAGGAGTACCAAACCAGATGTGGCAGAAATAGTCAACGCAAGGACGAATGGTAGCCTAATAATTATTCAAGGTAGATTCTGGCGAAATGTCAAGGTCAAACAAATTGAAGTACTCAAGAAATACACCGACTTCCGGATGGAACTTGCCAGAATATATGACGTTCAGACGATTATGCCGCGGGCCATATCTGGCAGCAATATTCAAAGCATGAACGAATGGTAGACTTGATAGAATGGTAGACTACGATAGATTCAGACGAGAAAAATTGTCTAGAACAACACAGTGAACAAGCTTTCTTAGCAGAAGACCTTGCAATGATTTGAATATAATCTTTCTTGAGTCTCCCGATGATTATTTCATGTGCTTTCGACTTGCGTTACTGCACTTCTCTTAATTAACGATTCACATTGCCTTTACATTTTGGAAGATCAAAGTTGACTGGAAAGCATGAAGCCGGACTAGAATTACACAAGCGAAAAGTGAGAGAGAAGAAACTGTTAACATAGAACTTACGGTTACATGTAGAAAATTTTAACTGTGAATTGTTGAGACCTTAACGCCAATCTAGTACTGCGCTTAAATTCATAAAGTCTAAGAATGATAGCGGAAAGTTCATCAGAACGATTTCCATGAAAGTATTTATAAAAAGGCACATGAAAGCTTCATTACGGAGGTAGAAAAGTGACTGAAGCCGAGAGGCCAGGTCAGATATTGCTGATTCTTCTTTGGATTTTATCAAAAATCTCTAAATATACAGCAGAAGCAACGGACCATATCTAGTCATATTCAAAGCATGAACGAATGGTAGACTTATAAATATGTACGATAGATTCAGACGAGAAAAATTGTCTAGAACAATACAGTGAACAAGATTTCTTAGCAGAAGACCTTGCAATGATTTAAATTTATAATCTTTCCATTTCATGTCAACCGAGAATTTTAGCCCGAGAAGGCGCAACAATCACTCTCATGGAGGTTAGTATAAACCATGCTGATAGGAGATAGGGAAGGGTCTTTCAGGTGATTAATAGTGAGCTGTTTCGTTTTGGAGGTGTTAAAATTAACAAGTCACTCCTTGCCCCAGTTAACAACAGACTTTTAGATCAGCTACCAATTTAATCTTATTGAACTGATTAGACTTACTATGCTTATGTCAACAGCAGAGATATCAAGTTGAGAATTGATGTCACCAAGAGGGGAGTTGATGAAAATTAAGAAGAAAGTACATTCTGGGAGTGACCTGCATTAATATCAAAAGACTTAGAAGAGTGATCCCTCAGGACAACTTTCATTTCGCGATTTGATAATAAAAGACCGGATTAGTTAAAAAAAAAAACATTCATACGGGATGATAAAATAGAAAGAAAGAAAGACTGGATATATAGATATGAACAGGCCGACAAAGTCGCATTAGGCAGATAGATAGATATGAAAAGCCCAAAATAGATAGATAGATAGATAGATAGATAGATAGATAGATAGATATGAACAGACTGAGATAGATAGATAGATAGATAGATAGATAGATAGATAGATAATGAAAAGGCTAACACAGCATATTAGATAGATAAATAGATAGATAGATGAATAAATCGATTCCAATAGACAGATATACATGAAAAGTTCAGATAACGAGAGAAAGAGAAAAATGAAAGCCATAGATAGATAGATAGATAGATAGGAACAGACTGAGAAAGACTGCTATTAAACCGCCGACGTCGGTCATTTTTTCCCGCATGTACTTATGCATACCTGATCAATATATCGTTGAAAGTTTCAAGTTGTAATATCTGAATTATTAAAATATGGATAAATTAGACGGTGTCAAGTTTTATAATGCATTCGAAATAAGTGCAACACAATTGTTTATTCATGAATAAATCCAGACTGCATAAGCCAGAGAAACATATTTGATTATTACACTATCCTATATACCATAGACGTGGGATGGCAGCAGGTGTCATGAGAAATCTCTGGAGACCACTGCCGGGGCGTCATGACATCTCCCTACGCACCAAGCTACGAGTTTACAACGCCGCCGTCCTCTCTTTGCTACGTGGCCTCTGAGTAAGACCCTCGCTTCCTGCGTCCATGACCTAGGGTTCAGCGCCCTAGGGAGCGTCGAGGGTGCCTGCACGGGTTTGATCTTGTGCCTAATGAGGAGATCCGCCGAAGGACCGACCAAACGAATAGCCTCCGCTCTGGGTCGTCTTCCCTGGGTCGGTCGCGTCCTACGACGATCTGATAACCACCCAACCAGAACCACCCTACCAGGGTCATCTAGCAATTCGTCCCGCCATCTGCAACCTTTTTTATGCTTCCCGAGTTATGGTTTTTTGGGGGGACTGATAACTAGATAGGCTGGGGGAGACAATTCCATTAATTTGCTGCCACTGTAACCTATTTTATTTGGCAACGGGAGAAACCGGCATCTTTATAGAATGCGACGAAACATTTTATTGCAAGAATCTAGTGTTTAGCCTATATCTTTGTTGTAACATAGGGGAGGTTACTGAATAGAATAATCACACGAAGGTTGGTAATGAACGATAATACTTAGGACAAGAACAACACATATAAGATTCGCCAGCGGCGCGTAAAAGTAGTCAACTGCTAGAAGTGAATCAAGTGAATTCCACAATGAATCTCCAACTGCAGGATATCTAACAACCGCCCCACGCGGTCAGATGTGACACAAGGCCGAATTTAATGTGTGGTATCCGAGCCCGTAGCCTCGGCCAAAAATTCCGCGTAGACCCCGTATAAAACGGTATCGAGTAGCTGTTTCCCGAGACGAGACTCTGCCTTTCGAAATAGCCTTGTCTGGTGATCCTCTCTGCCCGGAAATAGCGAGTTTGACCAGCACAGCTGGAGACGAATTTCCAACTACAGACCAACATACAGTATTTACTATTGTATTCATGTGAATGGGGACATGCCCATTATCGTCCGTAGGTATGCAACAACAATCTTCTTGCTGGCAATTCATATCCTAGTGCTTAAAATGATTATCTGTATTGATCGCGACACCGTCGTCCATATTGAAGTGACCTAAGGTTGCTATTAGAAAAAGCAATTTTTCTTTTTTATATGTCTTGACCCTTCAGCACGAGGATGATCATAGCTCTCCATAATTTTCTATCCTTTTCAGTCTATATTTCAGTAATAAGGTAGTTATTTACACTACTTACATTGTTCGGACTGTTGTCCTCATCTTTATTGCCATGTTCACGACGTTTCGGCCGTTGTACACTCTGGGCTACCTTCAGGACCTGTCCATATTTCTGAGATGGGGTGTTGTAACTATTTACACCGTTCGGACGGTTTTCCTCATCTTTATTGCCATATTCATGACGTTTCGGCCGTTGTACGCTCCGGCCTTCGTCAGGTGATATACGTTGGAATCCGAACCCTTTTTAGCCTACTGAGGTATATTGTTCTAGTTCCACATACCATGCCTCTTCTGGATATCTCGGTTTCAGTTATTTCCCTTTAGTAACTCAACTCTCCAAGATTTTTTTTTCACCTTTTATTGAATTCAAAATTCTTTGAGACCTGTCACTGGGTTACTTCAACCAACACCTTTATCCACTAGGCCAGATTAATAAGTCCCTCAAATTCATTCACTGATGTTCCCAGAGATGCAAGACCCAGTGAATAAAAGACATCTTCATTTTCTTTATTTTCTGGGAATTGCCATGATTTTTGGGAAAATCTACTGAAATGTTTCACCGTTACCTTCTTCTTTGTCTTTTTACCTTCACGAGATAGACGTTAATAGCTCTCCATAGCTTCCTTTTCTTTATTATCAGTGAATTGTTATAATCTTTCTTTTTTTTTTTTTTTTTTTTTGAAAGGTAATGGAGTGGATTATCGTTACATTCTCCACTGCTTCAAGCTTTTAATCTTGCTTCCATCCAATGCTAAAGATCCCAATCTGATCTGCTATTTAAAACCTAGCGGGGAGAAGGGATTACCAAAGTTAATGTAAATGGCGCAGCCACTTGAGGATGCCAGTCTACTAGGGAGGCTAGCTAATCCCCATTGCAGACACCTGCTCAGGCACATCTGTGTTTGTTCAACAACGCTGTGCGGATCTCAGTTTGCAACTATGCTGAGCGGATCTCAGTTTCTGGTAGAGAGCGCGTTATCTAGCGTGATCAAACCCTCGGTCACGATGACTTGTGACTTGTGACTTTGTGACTTTGTGAATGGCGCAGCCACTCGAGGATGCCAGTCTACTAGGGAGGCTAGCTAATCCCCATTGCAGACGCCTGCTCAGACACATCTGTGTTTGTTCAACAACGCTGTTGAAACTGTTTATAGTTAAATAAACTGGTTCACTTAAAATTCGAAATACTGTCATTTCTGTCCTTCCGTCCGATAAATTGACCTGACGTTAGTTGCCGATACATTGACAACAGTGTTCATATCTATCTCAGACTGTTCATATCTGTCTGTCTGTCTGTCTATCTATCTATCTATCTATCTCAGTCTGTTCATATCTATCTCATTCTTTCACAACCACCGACGGCCTCCTAAAGGTTCTGTCCACCCAATTTCACTCACAAGGCTTGGGTCAAACCGTGGGGTGGTTTTCAGGCGCTTTCCAAAGGTGCCGCACGTTGGGACCGCCTCCTCCAGACCGATAACATCAAGAAGTCACCTCCCTGACTATTCGAACCCGGGTCCTTATGGTCAGAAAGATAACGTTCTAACCACTCGGCTAAAATAATCGTGCAAAAATGAAAGATCAGGATTTGAACCCGGATACTATTTTTCATGCTGATAACTGTTACTCCGCCTTCACATCCGCCTTTGTATTTAGTGTTTAAATTTTTAGTCTTTATTTGTAGCTTTAGTTTTCAAAGACCTGTTGTCCCTGACAAAGAATTCACATTGATTCACGATTTGAGGTGTCATTTTAAATGTCCGTCGCCAGCGGCGTCTACTCCAAATTATGTCAAACATCGCCGAGAGGGAAGGCTTTTAATAGAAACCTGAATCGTCAAAGTGAATAGAAATTTCTGCAAAGCCTCCGAGCTTTTCAAAATCATTTCATCCAGAGTGAATATGAAATATACAGATGAAACTCAGAACGCAGCTATTGATTTATTTAAATATTCATATGTCTGTTTACTTATCTACCTATCTCAGTCTCTTCATATCTATCTCATTCTGTTCATATCTATCTATCTATCTATCTATCTATCTATCTATCTATCTATCTATCTATCTATCTATCTATCTCAGTCTATTCATATCTATCTCATTCTATTTATATATGTCTATCTATCTCAGTCCGTTCAGATCCATTTATCAGTCTATCGATCTCAGTCTGTTTATAGCTATCTATTGATTTATTTAAATATTAATGTCTGCCTATTTATCTACCTATCTCAGTCTTTTCATATCTATCTATCTCAGTCTGTTCATATCTAATTCTGTTCATATCTATCTCATTTTGTTCATATCTATCTATCCATCGATCTAACTTACTCTGTTCATATGTATCTATCTATGCATCTATCTATCTAGGTATGTTCAATACTTCGCCAAAAAGAGCATACCCTGGTGAAAAAAGGCTCCAAACTTGATTAAACATTTTAACGTCTAAATGTTTATGTTATTATTAAGTGGAAAGACCAAAGTATTTTTTGAATATTTTTTTAAAATTTTAACCCTTTCTAATACGTCTGAAATTTTAGTTAAAAATCTTGTTTTTTTTTGTTTTGTTTTTTGAGTCAGCAAAATTTACATAAAATCGATCATGTCAACCATTTTTGATAACTTTGTAAACAAAAGTGAAATTCTCCGTTTAAAAATATTGTAAAATTCAATTACACATTTTTCAAAAGATATTTGAGGAAATTAGAAAATTTAAAGTTCACTTAATGTAAATGGAAACAAAAATTACTTAATTTTTAGCAGAAAAAATTTAGTTGGAAATTAGTTGGAGAAGCATGTTTTGGGGGTGTGAATTGACGTTTACGTCAACGTATCGGCAACTAACGTCAGGTCAATTTATCGGACGGAAGGACAGAAATGACAGTATTTCGAATTTTAAGTGAACCAGTTTATTTAACTATAAAGTAATTCTTAAAACTATAAGAATAAGAAAAATAGATAATTAAAAACAATCAAGACTTTTCTTTAAAATCCGACATCGCTTTCTTTGAGCAATGAAAAAACACGCCCGTTCACTCCGACATCAGCGTTTGTTATAAAGGCAAACACAAGGACATTTCCTGGCGCAGACATCGGCAGTGATCATGATCTTGTGATGACGACTTTTAAATTGAGGCTGAAAATTAAGCGCCGTTCAAAGAACTCCCACATCCGCTTCAACGTTGAGAAATTAAAAGATCTTGAAGTCAACTCAACTGTTCCAGACCAAAGTTGGCAGCAAGTTTGCAGCCCTGAACCTAATTAACAGTGATGTAGACACTTTTGCAGATCGCATTAATGAAATGTTATTCACAACAGCTGAGGAAGTTTTGGGTAAACGGCGAAGTTTTGAGTAAACGGTGGGTCACGAACAACATCTTGGATTTGTGGGATAAGAGGAGAGGACTGGGTGGAAAGAAGCACTCAAGTGGCGAGGTCTATTCCCAATATGAGGAAGTGCACAGTGATATGTGAGGAGAAAAATCTGAGCTGCTAAAGAGGAGTAGATATAAAATAAGTACAAAACCATTGAGAAAGATATGTTTACTGTAAATAACAAATAGGCCTACAATACTCTCAAATCCCTCGCTAAGACCAGCCAACTGAGAGCAATGGTCGTAGAGGATGAGAATGGTAAATTGTTGTCGGACACTGAGATGGACTTAATACTGTGATCGTTTATACAATTACCAGCTGCATCCAGATGTCTCCATATTGCAAACTGAGCAACACTCTGTAGAAGAAGACGAGACTAGTCCATCAGTACTGAAAGAAGAGGTTGATATGTGAGTAAAGAGTTTGAAACATGGCGAATCACTCGAAGTGGATAATATTCTCTCTGAGCTGATAAAACATGGAGGTGAAGAAACCATCAAAGTCATAACAACATTATTTCAGATTTGGGAACAAAAATGGTGGTCTAACGAGTGGACGAGTCATTGGAAATGCCCCTGCCAAAGAAAGGAAGCCTTAGACAGTGTCGAAATTAGAGGACAATATGCCTGATCAGTCATCCTAGTAAAGTCCTGCTCCGTATCATTTTGAATAGTTTGAAATCCAAGGCTGAAGAATTGCTATCAGAGGAACAAGCAGGTTTTGAAAAACGGAGGAAGTACAATAGAACAGGTCTTAAATTGTCGGATCCTCGACGAGAATCCGACAATTGAAGACCTGTTCCATTGTACTTCCTCCGTTGTACAACATCAGTAGGATGTTTTCCACATTAATAGGATGTGTTCCATTGTACTTCGTCCGCTATACCACATCAGTATAACGTGTTCCACATGAGTAGAACGTGTTCCATTGTACTTCGTCCGTTGTACAACATCAGCAGGACGTGTTCCACATGAGTAGAACGTGTTCCATTGTACTTCGTCCGTTGTACATCAGTAGGTCGTGTTCCACATCAGTAGGACGTGTTCCATTGTACTTCGTTCGTTGTACAACATCAGCAGCCCGTGTTCCACATCAGTATGACGTGTTCCATTGTACTTCGTTAGTAGTACAACATCAGCAAGACGTCTTCCACTTCAGTAGGACGTGTTCCATTGTATTTCGGCCGTTATACAACATCAGTAGGACGTGTTCCATTGTACTTCGTTCGTTATACAACATCAGCAGGACGTGTTCCACATCAGTAGGATGTGTTCCATTGTACTTCGTTCGTTGTACAACATCAGCAGGACGTGTTCCACATCAGTAGGACGTGTTCCATTGTACTTCGTTCGTTGTACAACATCAGCAGGACGTGTTCCACATCAGTAGGACGTGTTCCAAATCTACTTCGTCCGTTGTACAACATCAGCAGGACATCTTCCACATCAGTAGGACGCGTTCCATTGTATTTCGTCCGTTGTACAACATCAGTAGGACGTTTTCCATTGTACTTCGTTCGTTGTACAACATCAGTAGGACGTGTTCCACATCAGTGGATCATGTTCCATTGTACTTTGTCCATTGTACAACATCAGTAGGACGTGTTCCACAGATTTATTGATTTCAAGAAAGCATTTGATTTTGTATAGCATGACGATCTTTGCCACATCGTTAGAAAATTCATTCTAAATAACGGAATTATCCAAGTCACCCAGGCCTTATATAAAGATGCGAGCAGCGCAGTTCTTCTGAAAAAACAAATGGGAGGATTCCTCCAAATAACTGTCGGCGTGCGCCAGGGACGTGTACTTTCACCCACATTGTTCAATTTCTAGAAAGAATCATGCAAGAAATCCTGAACAACCAAATCCTTCAATCTCTATCGGTGGCAGGCCCGTCTGTAACTTACTTTTTGCAGATGACATTGACCTCATAATAGGTAGTAACAGTGAGCTCCGAGATTTGACCAACAAACTTTTGGAAAGAGCAGTAGCATATGGAATGGAGGTCAGCTCCGAGAAATCCAAAGTAATGGTGAATAGCACAAACAGTAACACCTGTGTCAACATGACCACGAATGGGAATTCACTGGAGGAAGTGTCCATGTTTTAAATAATTAGGAGCAATCTTGTCTAAAGATGGTACCTGCAACTCAGAAATCCGCACAGGGATTGCTGCAACCAATGGCAGCAATGGCCAAATTGACAAGTATATGGCGGAGCAAAATCAACTTTCAAACAGACTGTACAAATCGTTGGTAGTCTCCATTCTCCTATATGGGTGTGAAATGTGGACACTGTTGGCAGATACAGAGAGAAGGATCCAAGCGTTTGAGACAAATACATGAGAAAACTCTTTGGCATTTTCTATTGGGGACAAAAAAAGCAATGAGTTTGTGCGAAAAAGGGTTGAAAGTTTTGTGGGCCAACAGGAACTAATTGCCATTGTCAAACGGAAAAAATGGCGTGGTTTGCACACATTATAAGGCACAACAGCCTGTGCAAGACCATCATGCAAGTCACCGTTGAAGATGGACGTAGAAGACGCCAACGCAAAACTGTCAAAAAATGGACAGGTACCAGAATTGCTGATGGCTGCCGTTGTTAGGCCGTAGTGAAAAAGAGTTAGTGTGGCTTCTACATTCGGATCCGCCCTACGATTACAAAGGTCAAAGGGTAGATGATGAGGAATTCTTAAAAATTAAATACTTTCAAAAGTCTAATATTTTATTGATTTTTAGGTACCTTTTTTTTTTAACGAAGATATGTCCAAAGACTTCATTGTATCTGTCCCTAAAATTGAATCTAAAAAAGAAAAAAAAATAATAATTGCATTATATCTCTCACTGAAAAAGAAAAATGATTATATTTTTTTAAAAAATGAAAGAAAATATTTAGTGAAATATGTAAAAAAAAAAAAAAAAAAAAAAAAGAAAATTAGAAATTTTGAAAATGCAATGATGACGATCAGTCAGTCAGAGAATTTTACACAAAATCAACGCAATTTATGAGGCCGGATCCTCGCTATCAGGAGAAACAACTCTTAAAACACGGAACATTATTCCTGAATTGTGCTTCCGTATTTTTGCTGGAAACGGTTTTAATACATTTTTTGGCATACTAAAAACTTATTTTAAAAATAGAAACGCTTCGCTGATTCAATAAGGTTTCAAAATTTAACATCTGTAAAAAATAAATCTTTTAATAAGAATATTCCCAAAGATACACATATTCAAACTTAATTTTAAAATATTTGACAACCTTATTACATTTTGCATTTAAAATTGAAAAATAGAAAACAATTCTTGTAAAAATTCATTTTTCATCGAAAAAATATTTTCGCTTCAGGCAATAATGTCCTTAATATATATTATTCATAAGAGCATATTAAATAATAAAATAATGTCTTAGTTTTATTGGGTTTTGTATTTTACAATTCACAGCTAAAGTTTGGGTAGAGACAGTCCTCGATTTACAAATAAATCGATGATTTATATTCTTCAAAGTCTTCTGCATTTAATTAAAAAATTACAGAGATGCGCATATTTGAGTTTTTCATAAAAATTAAATATAAAGTAGGGAGTAACAGATGTAAAGAAAAATATTTTTACCATGACTTTCTAAAAAGCGAACATTTCTAAAATAATTTCATTCATTTTTAAATAAGTTCTGAAAGTTTCATTAAAATTCAACAATTATTTGATTTTTGTAAGAATTTCCAAATTAATGTGTTTTTCAACTGAAAAAAGAGCTAAAAAAAAAAACTAATGCTAAATATTACGCGACCGCTGACGTAAAAAAAATCAAGATTTTCAACTAAAATTTCAAACGAGCTAGAAAGGAATAAAAAATTTTAAAAATAATTAAAAATATTTTGATCTTTCCTCTTATTAATAACATAAACATTTTGACGATAAAACTTGTTTTTATTAAGTTTAGCGCCTTTTTTCATCATGCTATGCTGTTTTTTCAGCGAATTATTGAACATATCTCTATCTGTCTATCCCAGTCTGTTCAAATCTATCTATCTATCTATCTTTCTTTCTCGGTCTGTTCATATCTATCTATCTATCTATCTATCTATCTATCTATCTATCTATCTATCTTTCTTTCTTTCTTTCTTTCTTTCTTTCTTTCTTTCTCGGTCTGTTCATATCTATCTATCTATCTATCTATCTATCTATCTATCTATCTATCTATCTATCTATCTTTCTTTCTTTCTTTCTTTCTTTCTTTCTCGGTCTGTTCATATCTATCTATCTATCTATCTATCTATCTATCTATCTTTCTTTCTCTGTCTGTTCATATCTATCTATCTATCTATCTATCTATCTTTCTTTCTTTCTTTCTTTCTTTCTCGGTCTGTTCATATCTATCTATCTATCTATCTATCTATCTATCTATCTATCTTTCTTTCTTTCTTTCTTTCTTTCTTTCTCGGTCTGTTCATATCTATCTATCTATCTATCTATCTATCTATCTATCTATCTTTCTTTCTTTTTTTTCTTTCTCGGTCTGTTCATATCTATCTATCTATCTATCTATCTTTCTTTCTTTCTTTCTTTCTTTCTTTCTCGGTCTGTTCATATCTATCTATCTATCTATCTATCTATCTATCTATCTATCTATCTATCTTTCTTTCTTTCTCTGTCTGTTCATATCTATCTATTTATCTATCTGTCCATTTTATGTCTATCTCTTTTCTCTTGATCATTTCACCCCATGCAAGGCGATAAAGCAGCTAAGACACAAGGCGTTAGTGAGAGTGAAATAAAGTGAGAAAACGTTAATGAGGAGAACGCTCAAAAAAAAGTAGGACGGAATATGACGCAGGAACTTGCATCTAATTTTTCGAAGATCAAACTTGACTTAAAAGCAAGAAACCAGAAAAGAGTTCCACGGGCGAGAAGTGCAAGAGAAGAAACTGTTAGCATAGAACATGCGGTTACATCTAGCAGTTTTAACTGTAAAATGATGAGACCTAATTGTCACTCTGGTACGGCGCTTAAATTCCTATGGTCGAGGTACCAATGAGGAAAGCTCATCAGAATAGTTTCCATGGAAATATTTATAAATAAGGCACAGGGAAACTATATTACGTCGGTGGGAATGTAATTGATGCCACGATGTCAGGGCCGATAACAATGACTAAAATTTTGACAAGAATTTTTAGACATATAACAGAAACGTCAGACCAAATGTAACAGCAATATTCAATGCGTAAACATATATCTTAGTCCATTTGTCGTGTCTAATAAAATATCAAATACAATATTTATAAACCAATCACACCCAAGAAAATACTTTCATTTTAAAACACACCAATAAAATCATAGAACGTTTGTTGTCTCAGTCATCATGATTTAGGTAGATACAGCCCAAATATCTACGTAGTAGAAGGCATGCTATGTGGCTTTTTAGGGCCAATTCGGAATAAATAAATAATTTAATTCTGGAGCCGGTTTTGTCACGAAAAAGTGTATAAAAACACATGAAATCCGACCCCAAACTGGATACACACAACTGTCACCAAGCTCTCGCTTATGATCTTCAGGACCACATACTAAAACCGACAGCGTTGACTAACTACGGCAACACGAAACAATTTCTATCTATCTCTTGTATCCTCTTTACTATGAACCACGCACGGACGTGTTGACTTTTTTTTATACAAACACACATATAACAACATTTCATTATTTCTCACATATGTACACAGAGACAATTTATATTTTATTTCAGAACTTTGTCAACCCAAAGAAAAAGATATTTCCAATCTATAACCAACTGCTTGTATTCTTGTCGTTATATTAAATTAATGTTTATTTGTTGAAACTAGGTTGTCTTTTCTACTGAATTTTATTCTTTCAATGATAATCGGTTGATTATTCTAAATGGCCGAATTACGAGCGATCCAGCAACAATATTTTATTATTGTATCGAATCCCGACCGACAATTGGAATTTTAACATTTAACGAAAAACGAGTAAAAGGATTCCTAGGCATTCATATCACGATATCACTATAAAGTCAAAAGAACACAACAGCTAAACATCTCAATGGGAGGATATGGCTTGTAGCATTCAATTATCTGAAAGATTTCTTCCTGTCTCCCATCAATATGGCTGATGCTAACCTACTTGAGAGTGATTCGATACACCTTCTCAGGCTTGCATTCTCGCCTGACATGAAGTGGAAATATTATATTGAATCCATTGCTAGGTCTGCTGCTAAGAAAGTTGCTTCATTGCTCGACAATTGCCCCCTCCAATCTATCTTACATATTTATAGGACTACTATTCGTTCATGCTTTTCACATATATCTATCTGCCTAATGTCGACCTGTTCATATCTATATATTCAGTCTTTTATTATCAAATCGCGAAATGAAAGTTGTCCCGAGGGATCACTCTTCTAAGTCTTTTGATACTAATGCAGGTCACTCCCAGAATGTACTTTCTTCTTAATTTTCATCAACTCCCCTCTTGGTGACATCAACTTGATTTCTCTGCTGTTGACATAAGCATAGTAAGTCTAATCAGTTCAATAAGATTAAATTGGTAGCTGATCTAAAAGTCTGTTGTTAACTGGGGCAAGGAGTGACTTCTTAATTTTGACACCTCCAAAACGAAACAGCTCACTATTAATCACCTGAAAGACCCTTCCCTATCTCCCATCAGCATGGTTTATACTAACCTCCATCAGAGTGACTGTTGAGCCTTCTCGGGCTAAAATTCTCGGTTGACATGAAATGGAAAGATTATAAATTTAAATCATTGCAAGGTCTTCTGCTAAGAAAGCTTGTTCACTGTGTTGTTCTAGACAATTTTTCTCGTCTGAATCTATCGTACATATTTATAAGTCTACCATTCGTTCATGCTTTGAATATGACTAGATATGGTCCGTTGCTTCTGCTGTATATTTAGAGATTGTTGATAAAATCCAAAGAAGAATCAGCAATATCTGACCTGGCCTCTCGGCTTCAGTCACTTTTCTACCTCCGTAATGAAGCTTTCATGTGCCTTTTTATAAATACTTTCATGGAAATCGTTCTGATGAACTTTCCGCTATCATTCTTAGACTTTATGAATTTAAGCGCAGTACTAGATTGGCGTTAAGGTCTCAACAATTCACAGTTAAAATTTTCTACATGTAACCGTAAGTTCTATGTTAACAGTTTCTTCTCTCTCACTTTTCGCTTGTGTAATTCTAGTCCGGCTTCATGCTTTCCAGTCAACTTTGATCTTCCAAAATTTAAAGGCAATGTGAATCGTTAACTAAGAGAAGTGCAATAACGCAAGTCGAAAGCACATGAAATAATCATCGGGAGACTCAAGAAAGATTATATTCAAATCATTGCAAGGTCTTCTGCTAAGAAAGCTTGTTCACTGTGTTGTTCTAGACAATTTTTCTCGTCTGAATCTATCGTAGTCTACCATTCTATCAAGTCTACCATTCGTTCATGCCTTGAATATTGCTGCCACATATGGCCCGGTGCTCTTGCTGTATATTTAGAGATCATTGATAAAATCCAAAGAAGAATCAGCAATATTATTAGTCCTGAGCTGGTGTCTCGGCTTCAGTCTCTCCCCCCACCCGCGCCGTAATGTAACCTCCCTGTGCCTTTTCTATAAATACTTCATGGTAACTGTTCAGATGAAATCTTTGCTATGGTACGTAGACTTTAGGAATTTAAGTGCAGTACTAGATTGGTGGCAAGATCTCATCAGTTTGCAGTTGAGTTAGCTAGATGTAACCGTAAGGTCTATGCTAACAGCTTCATTTCTTGTACTTCTCGCTTCTGGAACTCTCTTCCGGCTTCATATTTTCCAGCCAACATTGATCTGCAAAAATTTAAATCCAATATCAGTCACTATCTACTATCCTCCTGATTACTCTTTCCTCTTCCCGCTTATTATCAATGTTTCTGTTCCTAATTCTTCGTGTGTAAGCTGCCACATATGATCCAGTGCCCAATGTATAGTTAAGCGCGCTAGATGTCGCTGTAAGTTCTATGTTAACAGTTTCTTTTCTCACACTTCTAGCTTGTGGAACTCTCTTCCGGCTCCATACATTTCAGCCAACTTTGAACTTCAAAAAATTATCTACTGTCCTTCTGATTACTCTTCTATTGTGCTCGTTCCCTAATAATCTTTCTCTTTTTTCTTACCCTTTCAATCCCTGTCACCCCTTGTGTCTTAGTGGCTATACTGCCTTGCATGGGGTGATATGATTAAAAAAATATTGGGTGAAAAATTAGTATAAAAATACATGTATCAAGTTATCCCATATGAAACAATAACAATGTTGACTGCTCACATTATATTGGGCCACAAAAGCAAAAACAAAAAGGGTCAACGAAACATCAGCTTGGCATTTGGCGGTCGTATGCCAGAAATACAAGATGAGTGGGAAAAAAACTCCCTATTGAAAACTACTTATAACTTTTGTTAGTATCACCGCGTTTGCATGAAACAAAATACAGGGTGTTTCAAAAAATTTGATATCATTTCGCAATCTAATAACTTTGTTAGATCTCCTTCAAATGACTTCAAATTTTAATAGCATCTTTATGTTTAATGTTTGTTTTATGTTTTTATGTCTTTATGTTTTTGTGTTTTTCTTATTTGTATTTTTATGTTCTTTAATCTTTAATCTTTTTCTTTCCAGGTATAAAAATGCCGTGTCTCAGGCGGTACGCATATTGAACATTTGTGAAATCGTTCACATAATCCACATGCTTTTGAATTTCTCATTCAGATTGGGAAGAATAAATCTTATGATCTTCAACATTAATACTTTTTAATTTCATTTGCCTTAATCATGTACTTTCTGTGATATTTACATCTCAAAGGATATCAAATTTTTTGAAACACCCTGTATATTGCAACCCCTAAATTGGTAGAATTTCATTACTAATTTTTCATTTCGGGGTGACAAGTGTAGCCCAGAATGGTACAACGCCTGACACGGGCTTCTATAGCACCTGTTAGGGTCTCAGCTATGAATTCCCAAGAAAAAAATCAACAGTGCATTTTTATAATAAAATGAGCAACAATACAATTTTATAGGAAAATGACAATCAAAGCAACACTAAAAAATATAAAAATACATTTCTATAGTAAGATTACCAACACATTTTGTGATCTGCAAACTATATACAGTAAAATTCCTGACAACCAGACTAAAACAGCCTTTCGGATATGAGGAATTGGCTACAAAGTCCGGATATGAGGGGTTATACAGAAGAATCCCTGACAACCGCACTGAGAAGGCCTTCCCTTATATGAGGAATTGGTTACAAAGTCCGGATATGAGGGGTTATATTTAGATTAAAATAAAAGAACTGAAATCAGGTTTAATATTTGTTTTCAATATTTTATAGAAAACAAAATAATCTAATGGTGAGTGAAATATAACGGAATTCATTTTAAGGAAAAAGAAATAAATTATGTAATGTTAATGAAAACTCATTAAATTAAGTATGCCACGTATGCAAAACAAATAATGCAACGAGGATTTTTTTATTCGCTGTTTCATGATGATTCTTTCTCTTTTAATGTCATTCTCAACTTTTTCTGCATTTCGTTTTGCTTTTGTTCGTGAATTTTATTAAACCAAAGAAACTTTTTCACTCTGCGTGCGTTATTGCAATCGTCATAGCTGAATGCTGGCTTTC